TGGAAAAAAAAAAAATTAACTTAAAATGGATGTTAAAAAAAAATCCATCAGTTGCCAGCAAAACTGCTCTGCTTCAGCCAGGGTAGCAAAGCTGACACTGGAGTGCTAAGAATTGCTCTTAAAAACAGTGAGTAAAGCACAAGGACCTTCTCAAGAGTGTGTGTTTTACCAAGGCAACGGAGATGGTATGAGCAGGATGTATGGAATGAAAGCGTGCAAACATGGTCTGCATCCCAGCAGAGTCCTTCACTGATGGGTTCATGTTTGTGTTGAAAGATTCATGGATGAAAGCTCACTCTTCAGGAGTGCAATAATATGTATATATTGTCCTAAAAACAGGCTACAGCATCACAAAATAAGTTTTTCAGAGCAGAGACACCCATTTGGATATTCTCCATTTGCCACCACTTTTCTTTCACAGCGTGAGCACAGGCTCATGTGCCTGCATAGACTGAGAAGAGCAACCACCTCTTTGTGTGCCTGTGGACACAACCTCCAAGGCAGGTCATGTCTGATCTTAGAGGGATTTAACATTTGCTCTACACCAAATAACACTTTGGCCACAGCATTGGAATAAAAAGTCTGCATTGTATTCAGTTTATTACAAACAGTGGTGGTGCTGGAGCTTCATAGCTGTGCTTGGAGAATACTAAGGAATATTCATTCTTTTCGGATGAGCCATGAATTTGCAGTACTGATGGACAGCAGCCTGCCTTTATTTGCTTGCCTCAAACATTGGTATAAGCATTTTTATTTTGTTTTCAGGAGTATCCATGGAAGCGGCGCATGCGGGTGCCGCAGCTCCCGTGTTTGTGTGCATTCATCCAAGGTGGAAGACTTGCAAATAATTGTGCAAATGTGCATTTGTGCAAGTTTTCAAAACCAGAAATGATTTACTCGATCCTTCCTCCCCATTATAAATGTTCCAGGAAGGACACGTGGGCCCACGTGAATTAAACAGCCAATTGCACCACTTGAAAAGTAAATGGCAAACAGGGAATACTAAAAGCAGTAGACACAATGGGTTCAAAGAGATTCATGTGCTGAAGTGTTTAATAAAATACTCTTTGAATAAATTTAAATTACAAGTACATTACTTGATTTCCTATCTTGATGTCACAGAGCCTGCAGAGCGCTCTATTGTGAGCTGTCCTATTAACTTCAGCACGATTGTTCACCAAGATAAGCAGTTTCAGTGGATAAAGTGGTGTTTTTAACATTGTTTTTTCCTAGGCAAATATTTTAAACAGATCCTCCTCGTGAGTAAGACCGTGGCAGGCTTAGGAAGCTGTGCTGCCCATTTCCCATAGGAACTGCTGGGAAGTCGGAGTGGTTCAATCTCCCTTTTTGGGCTCAGGCTGACCACAGAATGGTTACTCACAGGACACAGCATCTGCTGGGCTTGCAGGACCCTGCTCTGCACCCAGGGACCCAGAGGTGCTGACAGCCACCGCAGCTCAGGTGTGGGCATGGGGCAGAACAGCAGGCACCCAAAACGGGGCTGGTTTGCTCTTCTTGTGAATTTGTGTGCAGGGCTGCAGGTCTCAGGTTGATTGGCTGCATGGGGGGTCTGTCAGAAGCTCCCTGCTCTGGTGACATTTTAGCTTCAGCTGCTGAGACTGCAGCTGTTGTGGTTGTCTTGGGCCCAGAAAACCAAACCCCAGCTTTGCCAGGGAGCCCTGGGCCACCTTCAGAGGCTCAGCCACTTCTGCTCCTCACATCCACACCAGGAATTATTTCACTTTCCCACCGAAGGCAATTACCTTGGATAAAATTTAAAAATCCACACAGAAACGGCGCAATTATTTAAAATCCACTCAATGAAACTCCTACCTCCACCTTTGGCAAACACACTAAAAGAACAAAATTGGGATTAGACAGGCAAGAGTGTGAGTGATGGATCATTAACGCTGCCTCTTGAGTGACTAAGCTCCATAGTAGTATCAACTACTAGTGCTGAAACATGATTTCATCCCTGCAGCTCCAAACAAAGATAATATGCCTGATCCCTAAGCTGTGTCACTCCAATTACGATGCCAATTTGTTGTAAAATATTGTTTCAAAGAAAAACAGGAAAACATTGAGGAGCACCTGAAAATTTAATTATAAGGTTATTCTTTTACATCCTGTTTCAGCAATTTTGTTTGAAATCTTGGGACTGGGGCTACAGAGCAGGTGATTGTTCATAATTCAGCATACAGGTTGTTTAATTGATAGAGCTGAGAAACATTTTACTGGGAAATTTCAATTGACCTGAAATTTGCTCAGCAAAATGCTTTATGTATGTCAAAAGCAATTTCAGAGGCTGTTAAAGGCATTTTCAGCTTCTGTATATTTGTGTCTCAGATTTGTCTTTTTGACATAAGAGTGAAATGGCAATAAAGACCATTAAAATAAATCAAGGAGGTTTTAACAATTATTTCTCCAAAACACCAGAAGATTTCTAAAAATAGGTTTGAAGCCAGACCATTCAAACACATATAAAAATCCATAACTGAAGCTATTTTCCTGCTATGTATCTCCTCAGAATTGCAATATTACCTTTAGATTACTAAAAGACTCAGCCACTTCAAATGAGCGAGGCTCTGAAATGGTCAAGGGAGTGTTGTTTTAAATCAGCTTCTAGAAATGGTTTTATTATTTTATAAAACAAAGGAATGGTTCCATGTTGAAATCCAAGTCCCATGCCATGGTTTAAAACATGAATAATTTACTGTATCTATAGATTTTATCTTACAAAACAGAACATACTGAAAAAGGAGGAGAGAATGTAGTCTTTGCTCCTCAGCTCTGTGAACAGATGACAGCTTTCTCAAATTGGGCATTCTTAGCACATATTTGACAACTTTAAAAATTGTAACTTTATAATTTGATTATGAGCATTTGAATTTTGAGCAGAACAGCTCCCTTGCTGTCGGTTTGATGTGTCCCATGAAACGCCTTTTTATCCCCCAAAGTGATGGGGGTTTGAGCTTCACTGGCACACAGCTCCTGGGTGCAACTGGTCCAAATCCCCTGGTGATGCCAGGAGGGCACCACTGCTGCCCAGTGGTGCAGCCAGGCTGGAACTTGGCCATGGAGCTGGGAGCTGCCTCCACACTGCCCATTCCCCACAGCTCCCCTGACTGCTCTCCTAAACAAAGTCCTGACTTAAGCCCAGGTGAAATCAAGGAAGAAATCCCACCAGTTTCAGTCAAAGCTGCACTTCTATGAATGGTGTTACTGGGAGACCACACAGAAATCCTGACATTGGGAAGCTCAGGGATTTTTCCCACAGGTGACAGGTCCAGCCTAGCTGAACAAGCTCAGCAACTCCTGCAAGATACAAACAAACTTATTTTCCATGAAAAACAGAGGCTGAAGACACTTAGAACAAGCTCAGTGAAGATCACAAGATTCAGTTCAAGTGGAGGATGCTCAGCACCTCTCAAGCAAACTCAGGAGCTCTCAGATGCAAGCCCTCATTTTCCAGGTGCCATAAAAGCCCATGCTGAGTGTTAGATTCCCTTTAAGAGTCATAAAGCCAAGCATTGCTATTACCCATAAACCTTCACATTTCAATAATTCTTTCTCTCTTTAGCATCTAAAAATATTTCCTTTTCCTACAGCTCTTCTATGTATGCCTACTATTGCTAGGTAGCAAATCCGGTATTTTAAGAGAAAAATCATGTTACACTGTAGCCTTAAATCATTAGCTAGAGGAGAAGATGAGAACAGACGTGAGAATGAGGTGTTTTCTACCACGCCACAGTCTGTTCTGGGGAGAAAAAAACCCATCTAAACACAGCTGCGACTCTGAACCGGAGCTGGGCTCGTCTGGGCTGAGCCGTCTGTCAGTTGGAATAAAGCACAAAGCCGGGTTTGCAAAGTTGCCGAGCGCCGAGCCGCGCTGATGGAATGGGGTGCGCAGCAGCCCGCCCGCCGAGCGCATCCCGGTGGGGAGCGGGGCCCCGGTACCCCCACACCCCAGCCACAAAGCAGCTCGGCACAAGTCACCAGCCTCCCTCTGCCCTCCCTTTCCCCCACACTCTCCTCCGGCAGCACCGAGGCTCTGCTGGCCGTTCCCAGACACCATGGACCAGCAGGTGAGTGGCTTCAGAGCCGCCGCGGCCACGGCCCCGCTGCCCGCGCACGTCCCTCCTTTCCCGGGGATGTGCAGCGTTCCCACGGCCGGAGCCCCGCGCTCTCGGCTGACAGATGTGCTTTCGCATCTGGGCTTTGCGACCTGCTCTGCCAAATGCTCGCAACACCCATGTGCTTCTTTGTCCCCGCAGTTACCGCCGCGCCTTCTCCACAACTCCATTTTCAGAGCGGGAGCCACATGTTCGGCCTCTGCGGGGAGCGGGGTCCTGCTGCCCAGCTCAGCCGCTACAACACCCATCTTTTTATTGTTCCCACCCTCTAGCCTGACCCTCGGGCTGTATCGAGGAACCCCGAGTCCCCACTGAAGCACCTGAGCGGTGGCAACACCCCCTCCACCCGAGCTCCCGGTGTCTCTGTCTGAGGGCAGACTGGGAGGAACTGGAGTTCCCGCTGTCCTGCCCGAGAGCTGTGGTTGAGCTCCAAAGCTCCTAAAGCCAAAGTCCCGGGGGCAGGGGGGAGAGGGGGGACCCAGCCCCGAAGCCTGCAGGGCTCAGGTGCGCCCCAAGGCACCCAAAGCCCCGTCCCCGCCAGGAGCCCCCCACAGCCGCGAAGCCCCGGCGATGGTCGCGGAGCGAGGTCGCCCCCCTGGGCAGCGCTCCCCTGGGCAGCGCTCCGCATCCCGCCGCCGGTTCCCATGGCAATGTCGGAGATGCCGGTTGCCACGGTAACGCCATCCTCCTCCTCGGCCGTGTCCGAGGCAGCGGCGCGGCTCCGGCCGCGGCTCCGGCGGGGCTCAGCCCGGCGGCTCCGGTTCCAGCTCCCGCTGGGCTCTGCCCGGGCGCTGCCCGGCGGCTCCGGGAGCGCAGCCGGGTCCCCCCGGGGAAGTTGCTCCCCCCTCCCCGGCGCGGCCCCGGTACCTTCGAGGCAGCAGATCCTCCAGAGCCCCGAGTGCGTGAGATCGCCCCGCGCCCGCCGCGGCGGCCCCTGCGCCTCGTCCGTCGTGATGTTGGTGCCGTTGCAGATGTGGGCGCTGGAGTAGAGCCAGTAGTCGGTGCCGATGGCGATGGCCATGAGGCTGAAGGCTGCGAAGGCGCCCACCGTGGTCAGCAGCATCTGGACGCCACGGTCACACCACACCATGGTGCTTCATAGTCCCCGCACGGGGCTCCGCCGCCGGCCGCGCCCCCGCGCACCGCCCCGGCCGCGCAGGCACCGGCCGCGGGCGGAGGGAGGCACGCAGGGAGGGACGCGGGGAGGGGCGGCCCGGCCCCGGGAACCGGAGGCGCGGAGCCTCCCGACCCCCGACGTGACGCCGCCCCGGCGGGCAGAGCCCGGCCCCGGCCCCCGGTGCGCGCCCGCCGAGCATCGCTCCGGTCCTTCGGTCTGAGCGGGCTCTGCCACGCCTGACGGGCTCCAGACCGGGAAGTGCTCGAGGCCGGTTGGACGGGGCTTGGAGCTGCCTGGTCTAATGGAACGAGATGGGCTTTAAGGTCCCTTCCAACCCAAACCATTCTGTCGTTCTATGAAATTCACAGCGGGTGAAGGTGTGAGTGTGAACCAGGCTGGCTCTCAACCCTGCAGGGTGCCAGGATCTGTCTGGAGAGCAGGGAGGTCTTGCCCACTCTAGAGGTGCAAAGCTCTGCACCTTCACTGCTCTTTCTTGGGTGGGTTCTGCACACCTTCCTTCTGCTGCATGGGCTGCCCTGGAAATCACCGTGGAAACCGTGCCAAACACTGTGGGGATGTTGCAATTCCAAAAAGATGCCCACATTGCCAGGGAGCTACAGCAGAGCCATCAAGGGGGTTTAGCCATCATTTCCTCTTGCAGCCTCACTCTGTGATTAATTACCCGAGGAGGTTGTAGGCAAGTGTTTGGGTTGCTGGTTTGCTCCTGTTTGGAAGGGTGTGGAGACAATCCAGCACCTGAAAATATTTTCCCATGGAAAAGCAAGGGGAGAAATATCTACACCATTTTTGTCGCACTATCCTGTCTTCCACCCCTCACTCTCATCACCGCGAGTTGACAAGTCGGTCCTGCCTCCACCTCATGCAAGTGACAAGCCAGATGAATGGGAAGGCTTCCTGATCAGCTAATGCATTTGTGTGGAGGGAACGTGGCAGCACACCAGTTTTATGTATATGAATTAGGGAGTGGGAGGACAAGAGCTACAAACCTCGAGAAATACAGTGCTCTTGCCGAGCAGTGCGTGGATGGCTGCAGGTGCTTGTGTGACTCCAATGCTCAGCATACCAACGCAGAGAGGCTTTTCAGCTGCTCGTCCATTTCAGAAAAAAACTGGGAGAACAAAAAGCAAATAGAAATTAAAAGCTGGTCTTTATTTTGCAGAGACCTCGGTGAATTGCTCAGACATGAAGCCGATAAACATAGAACAGCTCCAAAGTCAGATGCTTGGTTTAAAAATGTAAATTCTGCTTTTCTTTTCAGTTGTGGTTTGTAGGTGTATCAGTGCCTTTGCAAAAATCACCTTCTAAATGAATGTCTCCATTAGGGATGGAAGAATGAAATCAGGTAAACTCAAAAGCAGAGTGAAACCTCGTTCCAAAAAATGGGATTTAGCCTTTAAGTTTAATGAGGTTCAGCAAACTTCCCATTTGAAATATACGTTTGTACCTCTGGGCTTTGGGGGTTTGGACAGAGTGGGGAAATGAGATACTGAAACAGCAGCAGAGAAGCTATTTCCATAGCTTTTTAAACCTATTGAGCCTTAATTAATATTATTTATTTGTATTATGGTGTTGCTGGGAGAGATGCTTATGGCTGGAGCAGGGGGAGAGGGAGGGCTGGGTGGGCTGTACCCAGAGCAGAGATGGCTCTGAAATGTCCTCCTTGAGCACTCCCAGTCCAGACATGCCACAGGACACGGTGGGGGTGGTGGCTGTGCTGGTGGGCTCTCAGCAGCCTTCACCAGAGAAAGGGGACACGCAGCACCAGGGTTTCCACGGGCTCAGGGCCACCAGCCCTGCAGCAACGCTCCTATTGACTGGGCAAGGTAACAGCACATTAACAGCATTTATTAATAAAATATCTTGCTTCTCTCCCTCCCCCTCCCATTTTTGCAAAGAAGACATCTGTTTCTGTTTCTCCTGCCCTGAGAGAAATAACTCAGGCTCCTGAAGGGTTACAGAGCAGCATCCAAGGCAGGCAATCATTTTCTGCCCAAGCTCTCTTCTTTAGTTTAAAAATGTTCTCTATTCTTTTGAAATGCATGAAGTAGATTGTGGGAGAGCTAATATTATATTCCACTACAGAAAGCTGGTGGAGTATTTTACATTGATGTCTGGCTCTAGTGATTTTCTAAGGATTTTGAATTCATTAAATCCAACCATTGAATAATCTCCATTCGTGGCGGAAGGAAGGCAAAAGTGCTTACGCTCTTCAACAGCAGAAAAGCGTGTAGTCTTTTCTTAAACACGAAATCTCTCTGACCCACTGCATGCAGCACAGGTTGCCCACCGTGCCACCTTTGATTTGCAGGCTTTGCTTATGATACAGCCTTATAAAACTGCCATTGAATGTAGCAGCAGAGCCTTGGCAGGGTGTTTTGCACTGCAGCAGCCTCCTCCGTCCTCAATCAGAATTAAGATCCAATTGTTCCAAGCTCAGACCAGAGGCAGAAGCTCAGGACAATGAGAAGAGAAAGCCCCACAGCGTCTCCCTGTAATTCAGCACGACAACGTGCAAGGACAGGAGTCCAAACCCAGAAATAATTTTTACCCTGGAGAAACAGAATCTAGAAACAGAATTGTTTTGATTCCTTGACGTTGATGTTCAAAGCTTTAAATGAAATCTTGTGCCTGATCATTTTATTTCTGAACTGAATAACAGTTACTTTGGAGACAAAACTTTGGCTTTAACTGAATTCAGTGAGAACTGTCACTAATAAAATCCTGCCCCAGAGACACCACTGATATCAGAAGAAAACTGCAAGATGTTACCATTTAGCATTACTGCTGCTAAGTGTCAAACATATTGAGTTTAACAGATTAGGCTTTCTTAGATTTTTTTTTTTTTAATCTATCATCTAGAAAAATAACACTAGCATTTCACTGAAAGAAACTTTTGGAAATTGCTCAAGAAAAACTCGGGAGAGTTCTTTTCAGAATGAAAATAATCACTTCAATTAAATAGGGTTTTTTATGTAGATACAGTCTAACCATCATCAAAGCCTGGAACAAATATTTCATCCTCCCTTGTTCTTTCTCAGCTTTTAGCTCTGTGCACGTGAGAATGAGTTTTAGCATCTAGGAATGTCCTAAAACTGTAAGGACATCTATATAATTGGTTATTGTCATCTTCTGTGGGTCTTGGTGTCTTTCCTATCTAATTTGATGCTGATATTGGGGGAAAAAAATCCTTAATAACCTCCTTCAGGTTATGCTGTGTATGGAGAACTGTATGTTTCATCCATTTTTACAGTGTCGGATAATCTCCTTTTATCCCCAGGGCAGTAGTGGGATTTGGTTAAACCACCAGCTCAGCAGCAGAGCTTCACATCTCCAGCCTGAGCACAGGACCTTGGAGACCCTGGGATGTGGCAGAGGGTGTCAGTGGGTCACTGACAAGGAGAAGTACTACTAAAATTGTTCCTGGAACTATATTTTCATGCACTTTGGATCAGATGTTGCAGGTTACTGTGACATCTACTGAACTACCTTAGGGGATCTTTGCAGAGCTGGATCCAAATGATCAATCTCATACATTCTATAGTGGAACAAAGGTTGAATTCACTCATATTTAGGGATGGTACAGAACCTGACCCACAGACCCACCTGTTCCTTCTATCATAATTCATCATAAGTTGCAAGGACATTGTGCCTTTCACTCTGAGGACCCCACTCTGTGCAGAGGGCCTTCTTTCTGCAGCCAGGCTGGCAGACAAGTCACCATCACATTTCAGAGGGTTCATTCTAGGAAAGGGTGAGCTTGAGTTTAGTTTGAGGCATTATAAGGCTGAATTTCTTTTTTAGTCCTTTCAAAGAGCATCTGGAGTGAGAGCAAAGAGTTTCAGATTGTCCTTCAGAGATGAACAAATGGTCATCTTAAAGGAAAAATATTGTCATTCCTTGACGCTTTAGGGACAACAGCTTGGCCTAGATTCTATTATTCCTTTTAATATATTAAATATTCCTTGGCTTAGTCATGGGAAGCAAAGCAACACAACTGCTTTCTAATAAATAAAATGTGCTCAGAAGCAACTCTGAAGCTTTCCAGATAACTGCATTTTGAGTTTGCCAGGAAGCCAGATGCTGCTATTGGAAAAGTAGCTGCTATGGTTTGTCATCCGAGCCTAGAAATTGATACCCAAGAATGATATGATGAGACAGACTCGATGACAGCACTACTCTTTCTATAAATAATCTGAAGAAAAGTTTTTTCATTAAAAAAAAATGTTTTTTGTTAGAGACTTGCACAGCAAACCAGAAAATTAAAAAGGATAAGCATGCTGTGTTTGAATAGGGCCAACAAAAGAACATGATATACGTAATTTATAGAAGAATATATAGCAGCTCTCACACATTTTACACTACATAGGCTCTATTTTTCCCAAAATACCAATAGTTATGGAACTCATTATCTTTTTGACAATGGAGAAATGGAATATTATTCCTTTACTGGCTTGATCATGTCAAATGTCAAAGCAAATTATGAATGCTTGTCCTTCAAACACTCAGCCCTCCTGGTAAGATATTTAATATCAATGGTATTCACATCCTGCTACAGAACAAACTAATACTGCACACATCTCACAGACCTAAAGTTCACTGTGCCTGTTGCCTGCCATGCAATTCCATGTCTCAAGTCCTACCTCTTGTCCCTGTCCTAAGCATGGGGAAATTCATTGCAGTGCCAAATGGTACATTAACAATTACCCAGAGAAGGAGTTAAATCCATGAGCAGGGTTATTTGTGAGTTTAAAGTGTTAAAAAGGGAATGGGAGAAAGAGCAAGTGGTTAATAGGAGTCTTGATTTTCATCATACTTCAACAGCTTTGGAGAAGAATGTCCTGATGAGATGTTATGGGAGTTTCTAGCACCAGAAACCTGCTAAAAGGCCAGTGAAAAAAATCATAATCTTTTCAGTGCTGGAGAAACAGATGTGTGAGTGAGAGTTCACCCAG